AAAGGCAGGTATCACCTATGAAAGAATGGAACAAAAGTTTCAGCAATTGGTCATTCTTCAACTTGTACACATGGAGTAGTTTAAGCAATGTTGGAAGACTCCTGTATAGAACCATGTTTCTCCTACTAGCTTGTCCTGGTTTCTGGATTTTTCATCTGTAGACTATTCTTTGGATTTAAGACATTGGTTATAAATTCCATGGAAGCAATATCACATGTATCTTTTTTATTGCTTTAATTTCATCATCCATTCCACTTCCTGCCACACAAATAGCTCTCCAATAAATATTCATTTAATTAACAAATGAAAGCAAATGCTATTTGTGACCTTTAAAACATTATTGGGGGTGCCTGGCTTCATGGCTTAGTGAGATATCCTCTCTGCTGCTTCATTCTCCAAATGGCCGCATTGGGCAGAGCTGATTTGATTTGAAGCCAGGAGCTTCTTCTGTGTTTCCCACATGGGTGCAGGGGCCCAAGCATTTGGGCTGTCTTCCTTTGCTATCCCAGACACATTAGCAAGGAGCTGGGTTCGAAGTGGAGCGGCTGGAACTTGAACTGGCGCCCACAAAAGATGCTGGCTACCGAAGGCTGCAGCTTTACCTGCTGTGCCACCATGCCAACCCAAAGCAGTACTTATTTAATAGGAAATTTATTAAGTGGCTAAAATTTTACTTTGAGAATAGAAACTAGTTTTCCTTTAATTGTTAGATTATTTAAAACATGTTTTTTAAGTAACTGTTCTTTAATTTTTAAGATAAAGCTGGGGCCGGGTGCTGTGGCATAGCAGGTAAAGCTGCGACCTGCAGTGCCAGCATCCCATATGGGTACCGGTTCGAGTCCCGGCTGCTCCACTTCTGATCCAGCTCTCTGCTATTGCCTGGGAAAGCAGTAGAAGATGGCCCAAGTCCTTGAGCCCCTGCACCAGCGTGGGAGACCTGGAAGAAGCACCTGGCTCCTGGTTTTGGATCAGCTCAGCTCCAGCCGTTGTGGCTATCTGGGAACCAGCAGATGGAAGACCTCTTTCTCTCTTTCTCTCTCTGCAACTCTGCCTTCAAATAAATAAATAAATAAATAAATCTTTTTTTTTAAAGACTTTATTAAAAAAAAGATAATGCTATTGCTTAATCACTGTGTCAGACTTCTTTGTTCTTTGGCAGTTTATAGGTGGGCTCTCCATTTTAAACTTGTTTATATGTGTAGCCCTAAATATATATGGAAAGTGTTCCAGGTCAGTAAATGTTTAATCTAAATAAATATAAGTAAAATACAAATTTATAAAAGAAATGCCATTTTATATCACATTGGAAAATTAAAACCAACAATATTAAATGTTGGTAAGGAGGTAAGGGAATGAGAATTTGGAAGTGTTACTGATGTTTGAGTAATCTGATTAAACCAAAATCTTCTGTTTCCCTCAGGAAATATCTCTTCAAAGGTAGAAGAGAAAGAAAACAATTTTATTAAATATTGAACCAGGATGTGACTGCATCACAGGTGTGCTAAAAGATTCTGAGCACCAAATGAAAGTTCACTCTTAGACAAAACCAAGCAGATGCAACCCTTTACATTCATGGTCTGAAATAATTAGTAGTGCTCAAGTAAGGGGATGTGATAGCACCTTTTGTCACACATAGTTCATCCCAGATTCTCTTAGTAATTAGGGTGAGCTTTTGTGTTAGTTAATTGGCTTTATCCAAAGGAAAATAAACTAATATTTTTATGTCAGGCAGTAATTTTGCCATGTGGAGCAGAGGGGACTGCTGAACTTGCTTCTGATCTCCTGCTGAAACTAGGAGATAGAAGTACTATGTGCTTTGATTATTATCTTTCAAAGCGATGGCTGCTAGGTCTCTGACAAAGAATACCAATTTGCTGGCGCTAAAGATTTATTTAGCTTTAAAATTAATTTTTTTTTAAGATTTTTTTCTTTATTTGAAAGGCAGACTGACAGGGAGAGAGTGAGATCTTCCATGTGCTGGCTCTCTCTCCAGATGCTTCCCGCAGCAACTAGGGCTAGGCCAGGCCAAAACTAGGAGCCAGGAACAACATCTGGGTCTCCCATGTGTTTGGCAGGGAACCAAGTACTTGAACCATTATCTGCTGCTATTCCAAAATCATTAGCAGGAAGCTGGATCAAACTATGAGATGCAGGCATCCCAAATTCAGGCATTAACCCATTGTGCCACAAGCCTCATCTCTTATTTTGGCTTTTAAAATGATTTAACTACATTTCAAAAGGGCACATAAAGTATTTACAAGTTTTCTAAAGAAAATAAGAAAAAGAGATGAGAGAGTATGTGTAGAATTAAGTCTCCTAATTTTTATTTGCTTGTGCACTGATGGATAAGTTAATTCAGGTACTTTAGTGTACAGTTTTTCAGTGTCCTAGTAGAGTTGAAGGTGTGCACACTCTATGATCCAGTACTTTTAGATGAAATGCCATTTAATACATGCTGATAAGATACATGTGGTGTTGCTTATTAACAGTGAAACAGTGGAGAAACTTAAAATATCTCTGAACAGGAGGGTAGAAATCTTTGGTATATTTATACACTGTAAATGACTTAGAACTAGGAATATTTTTTTAAAAGGTTTATTTTATTTATTGAAAGAGTTACAGAGAAAGGTAGAGACAAAGAGAGAAGTCTTACATCCTCTGGTTCACTCTCCAGATGACCGCAGTGGACGGAGCTGAACTGATCTGAAGTCAGGAGCCAGGAGCTTCTTCTGGGTCTCCTACATAGGTGCAGGGGCCCAAGCACTTGGGCCTTCTTCTACTGCTTTCCCAGGCCATAGCAGAGAGCTGGATTGGAAGTGGAGCAGCCGGGACTAGAACCGGTGCCCATATGGGATGCCGGCGCTTCAGGCCAGGGCTTTAACCCGTTTCAATACAGCGCCGGCTCCAACTTGAATAATTTTTCAAAACAATGTTGAATTACTATAGCAAATTGCAGGAGGAAATGTATAATATGTATGTATGATGTTTATAAACATCCAGAATACTACCACATAAATATTTTATGTGTTTATCTATATATCTATATCTATATCTATCTATCTGGAATAGAAAGGTAATAGAATGATACTTGACAAAATCAGAAAGTGGTTACTACCTCTAAGGAAGGAAGTGTATAATGGAATCAGCCAGGGATTCTTTTATTTCTTATTAAGAGAAAATCATCTTAAATAAATAAGGTAGAATGTGAAGTTTTTATTTTGTGAGGTGTGGGTACATTTGTTAAAGTATTACCTAGATTCTTTTGTAATATTTAAATAGTTAATAAAAGTTTAAAATGAGAATGGATGATGGGGGAGAAGGATGAGAGAGTTATGGACATTTCTTCAAAATAAATTGCTGTGAAGGGAGCTAGAGAAATGGTGTGGTGGTTGAGGGGAAATTCTTCAGGGCTAGTATAGCACATTTGCATGCTGACAGTTATGGTCAAGTTGTTGCAGGAGACTAGTAACAGTTGTGGGAACAAAATCTTTGAGTAAGTAATCTTTGAGAAGTAGTGTGTATGACTTTTGATAGGAACAAGGGTAACTTGTTGACACAGGAGGGAAAGCAGAATAAGTGATAGGAAGGTGAAGTTCTCATTTTTTTTTTTTTAAAAAGAAAGGTTTTTATTTATTTGAGAGAGCTCTTGGGACAGGTACTGATCACCTGTCAACTAGTTTACTAGCCAGATGCCCACCACAGCCTGCATTGGGCTAGTCCAAAGGCAGGGGCCAGGAACTCCATCAGGGTCTCCCATGTGGTGACAGGGACCCAAGTACTTGAACCATCATCTGCTGCTCCAAGAGATGTGCATTAGCTAGAATTGGAAGTTGTGGTGTAACTTGGACCTTGGCAGTCCAAAATGGGATGGAGGCAAGTGGAGACTTAACTCCTTGCACCACAGGTTCTTCTGTGAATTTAGTCTGAATAGTATTCAGGTTTGCTTGGGGTCAGGAGATGTCCCAAGATGGAGAACTTTCAGTGCTAAAGCAAAGCAAGTCCAGGGGGAACAAGGATGGTTAGCATCTGACCATTTCTCATGATTATTATGTCCTGGGATTGAGGAAGGTATCTGAGGCTTATTTTGAAAGGAGAAGCTATGAGATAATTCCTTGTCTTTAAATTAGGGGAGGAAATTTACTATGTTAATGTGATATGATTTATGAGCATTCCTAGGGGTATGTTGAATTTTATGGTTATAATTTTAAAGTTTATATGGTTGAATAAAAGTTTGGTTTTATTCAGCATTTGAGGAGGTACTGTACTAAGTGAAAAGTTGGTTTTAAACTATGTTTTGACTGTGATTGAGGGGGAGAGAATAGGGAAGTCAGGCCATAGGGAAGGGAATGTATATAGGGATGGATTGTTGAGTCTCCAGCTGGATAAGAGGTAAAAGAAGAGGAAGGAGAGAGGAAAAATTGTAGACCTTATTGCTGTCTGTGTGTTACTGGGAGTGATCAGTTAAGATAAGAACTGAAGAGAGTGATATACTTGAAATTGAGATTTTTGAGCTGGTGTAGTTATTGATACTGTGATCATGTGAGTAGGTGAGTGGAGTGTGATGGAAGAAGAGATTTGTGGGAGTGGGAGTGATGATTACTTCTCTGGATATCATTTCAGTGATTAAGTAATGCAGACAGTGCTCTGAAATATGCTAAATTCAGTTGTTTTCACACATTTTAGAGGCTTCTGTATCCTGTATTTTTTGTTTAAATATTGCCTCAAGTTGTAAATCTCTGTTACTCTGATATGAGAACAGTTGAAATGAGTAAGTGGATAAAAGCAAATTTTGTTTGATTAATACTCAGCCTTGTCATACAAGTTATAGTTTGGTAGAGCCATTGTAGTTGGTGAGTTTAAAATCAGTGTGCAACCTGATGATCCCACTGTCCATTAGGCTATTTCAGTCCCACATAGGTTCATTGAGGGCTTTGTACCATGTGTGGTTATTTGTAGGACACCTCTTTGTTGACATAATTTCACTGCTTGTCTTTTTATAGGACCGCAGCTGAATGCCCAGCTAGAAGGTTGGCTTTCACAAGTACAGTCTACAAAAAGACCTGCTAGAGCCATTATTGCACCGTAAGTGTTAAGTCTTTATCCTAAATCTTTCATATGTTGATGGTTAATTAAAGATTGAGTACCTTTATGTGCAACAAAAAAATAGAAAACGAAATGCTATATTGAGCTGAAGAAATCACATTAAATAATTTTCTCAGTTCCCTATGGTTTTCACTTGTACTCAAAAATGAAGGAATTGGCTGCTTTATTTTCCCAAATATAGCCGTTTTGAAAATTTATTTTTTGGTGGTAAGACTGACTTTAAAGGCAGATTTTTTTTTTATAAAGATTTTATTTATTTATTTGGGAGGTAGAGGTACAGATAGTGAGAGGGAGAGACAGAGAGAGAGGTCTGTCTTCTGTTGCTTCGCTCCCCAAATGGCTGCAATGGCTGGAACTGTGCCAATCCGAAGCCAGGAACCAGGAGTTTCTTCCTGGTCTCCCATGTGGGTGCAGTGGCCCAAGTGCTTGGGCCATCCTCCACTGCTTTCCCAGGCCACAATAGAGAGCTAGATTGGAAGAGGAGCAGCTGGGACTAGAACTGGTGCCCATATGGGATGCCGGCACTGTGGACAGAGGATTAAACAACTGTGCCATGGCGCCGGCCCATTTTTTTTTTTTAAGAGATTTATTTATTTATTTGAAAAGTAGAGTTATACCTCCTTATAGATGTTAAAAAGATTAAATATACTAGTTTTTTTAAAAAAGATTTTTATTTTTTATTTATTTGAAAGGCAGAGTTAAGGGGCAGGGTTGTGGGGAGGGGATAGAATGAATCTTCCATTGCTGGTTCACTTCCCAAATGACCGCAATGGCTGGGGCTGGGTCATCCCAAAGCCAGGAGCCCAGAGCTTCTTCTAGTTGTCCCGCGTGGGTGCAGGGACCCAAGGACTTGGGCCATCCTCCACTGCTTTCCCAGATACATCAGCAGGGGCCTGGATTACAAGTGGAACAGCCAGGACTTGAACCTGTACCCATATGGGATGCTGGCATTGCAGGTTGTACCTTAACCTGCTGTGTAACAATGCCAGCCCAAATACAATAATCTTTATAAAAGTTTTACCAAAATGACTTTGTTATTTAATCATTCAACAAATATGTACCGGGCTGCCAGGTGCTCATCTTGGTGCTGTGTTTTTAATAAATCATGATTTCTGCTGCTGATATTTGCATTTTGATATGTGAGGAGGACAGGTAGTAAATAGTTAAATAATTGTTTTCTGTCAGGTTGATTGTGCTAAGAAGAAAAATAAAGCAGATTAAGAGGTTTGAGAGTATCAGTATGGGTTGGGAGTTGCTACTTTACATAGGATGGTGAGAAAAGGTCTCTTGGATAAGGAAACACTTGAACGTGAATGTTGTGATGGAGAAAGTTATACAGATATGCGGGGGAGGCTTTCAGATTGAGGAATGGCAAGGGCACAGTCTCTGGGGGCAGAGATGAGCCTCAGGTGTGAGGAAAAGCAGGGTGGCCATTGCTGCTGGAGTGGCACGTGCAGCTAGTGTCCCTAATCCAGAAATCTGAAGTATGAATGCTATAAAGTCGGAAACACTGTGGTGTCAAAACTAGAATAATCTACACCTAATTTGTGATACCAGTTACAAGGTAGGCATAAGATCAGCCAGTGATGGGCCAGTGGTTGGGTCCTTGACATCCATGTAGGAGACTTAGGCTGAGTTCCTGACTCATGGCTTTGGCCTGGCCCAGCCCCAGCTGTTGACATTTGGAAAGTAAACGAGTAGGTTAGAGATTTCTTTCTCTCTCAAGTAAACAAACCAACAACAACAACAAAAAATTGGAGAAATAGGATTAAAAGATATTTTAAATACCCAAAACATGCTCACAGAAATGCAGTGCACTAAAAGTATTACATAAAATTATCTTCAGCTTGTGTGTGTAAGGTGTATATGAATTTTGTATTTAGACTTGGGCCTTATCTTTTAAGATTGAAAGCCTATGCAAATATTCCATAATCTGGAAAACTTCAAAATCAGATCAACTCCTGATCCCAAGCATTTTAGATAAAGGATATTTAATCTATACACAGGGCAGAAGAGTAGATGGCATAGATTGCAGAGGGCTAGATCATAAAGAGGCTTTGTAGGCTGGTACAGGACTTGGGGTTTTTGTTTTATTCTGAGTGATATGGCAAGTCATCACAAGTCTTCAGCAGTAGAGTGACACATGATCTGACTTAAGTTTAAAAAAGATTACTCTTAGTATGGACATTATATTGTATAATAAACTTATTTATAATAATACAGAAAAGAGATGTCTTAGTGGTTTGGACTGGAGGAGAGATGTCTTAGTGGTTTGGACTGGAGGCCAGAGGTGGAGTTGATAAAAAGTGATGTATTCTGGGCCAGTGCCGTGGCTCAATAGGCTAATCCTCTGCCTGTGGCGCCGACACACCGGGTTCTAGTTCCAGTCGGGGAGCCGGATTCAGTCCTGGTTGCCCCTCTTCCAGGCCAGCTCTCTGCTGTGGCCCGGGAGTGCAGTGGAGGATGGCCCAAGTGCTTGGGCCCTGCACCCCATGGGAGACCAGGAGAAGCACCTGGCTCCTGGCTTCGGATCAGCGTGGTGCGCCGGACACAGCGCGCCGGCGGCGGTGGCCATTGGAGGGTGAACCAACGGCAAAGGAAGACCTTTCTGTCTCTCTCTCTCACTGTCCACTCTGCTTGTAAAAAAACAAAACAAAACAAAACAAAAAAACAAAGAAGTGATATATTCTGAATATATTTCAAATCAACAAGGTGGAATAAGAGTTCAAGCCCCACCCCGACCCCCGCACCCCCAGGAACCTTTTACTTAAGGTGTACAAACTTCATGCATTTCATAAATACAACTTTAGGAACACAGTGATTCTTCCCACCTACCCTCCCTCCCAACCGCCCTCCTCCTCCTCCTCCTATTCCCATTCTTACTTTTTATGACGATCAATTCTCAATTAACTTTATACACATAAGATTAACTCTACATGAAGTACAGAGTTCAACAACTAATATGGGGGAAAAAAAACTTCCTCAACAGTCAAGGGCTGTTCAGAGTCATTGCATCTCAAAGTGTCAGTTCTGCTTCTATAGATTACCTCGGATTTCCTTTGAGGTACTCTGTTAGTTACTGCAGATCAGGGAGAACATATGGTATTTATCTTTTTGGAACTGCAGGCCATCTTTTTAGAGGTCAGAGTGAAGATGAGTATTTGCAAAGGAAAGAAGGAAGAGGGCTAATGCAGAAGGAGGAAGCCCAGGCTGAGTGGTATGTCTGGGAGACCATAGCATGAACATTGTGTCATGGACGAGAAGGAGATCAGCTGTCAGATGCTTCCAGTAGGTCAAATGCAGTGAGGTCTGAGAATTGATACTGGACTTTGCAATGTGAAGTTCACTAGTGAACTTGAGAAGAACATTTTCTGTGGAGTGTTGGGAATGAAAATATTCTTGGAGTGAGTTTAGGAAAGAATGAGCAGTAAGGGAAGTGAAGACAGTGAATATAGGTTTTTCTTCCTTTTTTGAGAAATTTTTCTGTAAAACAGAAATAAGTAAAGTAATACATGAGAATGTATTGGGGAAGACTTTTGATTCATTTGGGATATTTTAAAGTATTTGTAACTTCAAGGAAATATTTCAATAGAAAAAGAAAAAAATTGATGTGGAGAGAAAGTAGGCATAAGTGAGGTTCTTGATTAAACACATAATAGTCATCTCTTTACAGTAATCCATAAAATAGATTCTGTTCTCCTTGCATGGTGTTGCTGATATTGACTGTTGAGGTATGCTGCCTTCCTGATTAAAACTCGTTCTTCATGTAAGTGCTGTGTTGAATCAACATATAATTAACTTCCAAGTTAGTATATATAGAAAAGTGGCCAAACTTGTTTCCATTTTATAATTGGTTGTAAATTGAAGTCATACACCTATGTAAGTCTTTTATTCTTGCCAACTCCCTAAAACAAGAAAGTCTTACATAATTCACTAACAACATAAGACTTAAATTAAAAACAAGTTTTAACCTAACTGCCAATTAAAGGAATTCTCAACATTTAATTAATAAAATTTTTGGCTGGAAAAGGTGGAACTTTTTAATTTTTTTTGGAACTTTTTACTTTTACTTTTTTCATACTAAAGCTACTCAAAAGACCTCTACTTCTTTTTTTTTCCGACAGGCAGAGTTAGACAGTGAGAGAGAAAGAGAGAGACAGAAAGGTCTTCCTTTCCGTTGGTTCATCCCCCAAATGTTCGCTACGGCCGGCGTGCCGCACTGATCTGAAGCCAAGAGCCAGGTGCTTCTCCTGGTCTCCCATGCAGGTGCAGGGCCCAAGTACTTAGGTCATCCTCCACTGCACTCCCTGGCCACAGCAGAAAGCTGGCCTGGAAGAGGGGCAACCGGGACAGAATCCAGCGCCCCCGACCGGGACTAGAACCTGGTGTGTCGGCGCCGCAAGGTGGAGGATTAGCCTAGTGAGCCACGGCGCCGGCCAACAACACCTCTTAAAAGAATCAAGTCCCTAAAAAAAAAAAAAAACTCCATTTCAATACTTTGAATTTTTCATTAATATTTTTATTTATAATAGTCACAGCATCAGAACTAATTATATTCTGTACTCTACATTAATTTCATCTCTGGTTATTATTATTATTTAAAGATTTATTTATTTGAAAGGCAGAGTTACAGAGAGGCAGAGTCAGAGAGAGAGAGAGAGAGTAATCTTCCATCCGCTGGTTCACTCCCCAAATGGCTGCAACAGCCAGAGCTGAGCTGATCTGAAGCCAGGAGCCAGGAGCTTCTTAGGGTTTCCTATAAAGGTACAGGGGCCCAAGGACTTGGGCCATCCTCTGCTGCTTTCGCAGGTGCATTAGCAGAGAGGTAGATCAGAAGCAGAGCAGCAGCAAGGCCTTGAACCAGCGCCCATATGGGATTCTGGCACTGCAGGTGGCAGCTTTACGCACTGTCCCACAGTGCCAACCTCATCTCTGGTTATTATTAACTGATGAGGAAAACAGATAGAAATGCAGGACTC